CCCCCCCCCCCCCCCCCCCCCCCCCCCCCACCTTGTTTTTCTCTCTTCTTTCTTATATACTACATCACAAACTGAAACTGTAATTATTCGGGCATTCCATTGTCCATTGATAAGTTCCTTGTGTTCTTCCTATCGGTACTTGGGTTTTACGTTGTTTTTTTTTCTCATATGTTAGCTTGTTATAGCGTTGGACTGATAGAAATAAATAAATAAAAGAAATAAATAAAAAAATAAATATGGTTGGGTAGAAAAGACCCTTGCTTCTCCAGGTTAGCCACATTTAGTTCTCTTTCGATTTGAATTAACTATTCCGCGAAATCGCCATTATCAATGCTAAATAATTTCCTCATTTATCGTCATCAGTCTGTTCATATTTGAAAATATACTTCGAATATATCAAAATAAAATGGAATACAATTATATTTTTGAAAAGAGGGTCAATGTACCGTAAATGTTGTCAAAACATGGCATTTTTAGGGGCATTATGGTTCTCATCGTTATTGAAAACTATCGCACAAAACTCCACGACACTTGGGCTATGATCGTCGTACTTTGTATTATGAATAGACCTGGGTGTGGGAAATCAGCTGTGTTTTAATGTGGCCTCCATAAGAAAAGGGTAAAATCGCGTACTCATTTTTGTTTCACTATTCATTGCTTTCCACTTTTATGAAGAACCTTTGGGATTGCAAGTTCCTCCTTAATAAAGCTGTGTCTACATAATTGAGGGATGACAATACTTTGAAATGACAATAGTTGTGCTGCACCTTATTTTGGTAATTTTACATCTTTATAAATTGCAAACTCGAGTACCAAATGATTTTTTGTCCTTCTCATGTCATTTAAAAATTGGAGGTCTAAAGGATGTTGTAATGTAACGCACTGTACCTCAATATGCATCGTGTTTGTGTACTTTTCTAGTACGGTCTACTGGTCCCGAGTGGGTATCACTTCTTCAATCCGTTCACCTGTTTGTGAATAGGGATAAAGATGCCGATGCAGTGCCGTACATCTGCAGGCCTCCCGAACCTCGACCAACCAACGCTCCGCGACTTAGTTCGTGCAGTCTTTTATAAAACGTTTTTTTTTTCATTTGGCTGAAAACAAAATCGAATTTACAGAAGTCCCTAAGCTCTTCAACCGGCAACAGCATCCTTCTTCGATAGAAACGGATGCAGTCCTCATGTCCAGTAGGAATGCGAGTCAGAATCAACAATTAGCTCATGAGAATGGCAATACTGCGTAAGTTCAGAGGCTTTTCTATTTTTTGCTTCGTGTCTCACGTTTTCATGTAATTGAATGATTATGCAGGAATACCAACGTTATGGACCCATCCAGTAATGCTCGTGGTGACATGAATATAGCAAGGAGAGCAAGTGTGAGTGGGGTGTTTGATCTTTGAGTGTGAAGAGTTTGAGAACAAATTTTTCTTTCATCCTGGTTAATACACTTCAGGATCACCATTACCCCGTCCAAATAGGCGTGGTGAAGCAGAATGCCTCCCACGTTGTACCAATGCAGGGAAGGAATTTTGTACCATCGTCAAATGTCCCGGTTTGTTCCTTATTTCTTGATGTTGATTGATAAAAATTTCATTCATTGGCTTTTTATTAACCTTTTTGTATTTATTACTTTCAGAATTATTATTTCAGCGCTCTTTTTCTGAAAGTCATCCTCCCGTGACAGCACCTCAGCAGAACGTCGCGGTTACGACTCAACCAACACAATGGCAGATCGTTCAACCGGGCACTATTCTACAGGTTCAACTAGCGCAGCCACAAGGCACTTCTGTGACACCGGTGCAAGCTTCTCCTTTACGTGCTCAGCAAGTAGTGGTACAGAGTCAGCAACAATCGCCAGTTGTTTACCAAGTGGCCTCAATAGGACAGCAACATTTGATGAAACAGACAACTACAGGTTCGAATAAGGTAAGAATTTGTACTTGCTCGTTTTAATTTACAATTAATATTTCATATTTTTCTACTGATTTTCATTTGATTTTCGATTTTTATTGTCTTAGTAACTAAAACTTTTTTCATAGCATCACAACTTTCGTAATTTTATCTTTGTTTGCCATTTTTGCGGGATAGCTTGGTGTTACCATTCGTTCAATAGTTTGAAAACGAACATTCTTGAAGAGAAAACGGAATTGGTCATATAACATGGCTGTTTGAAAGGTGCTATCTCTTTTTGAAAGTCTAGTCTTGATTGAGCCACTTCTCATTCCCTGATTTGTGTTCGAAATTCAATTTTGAGATTTAATATCATAGGCTGCTTTCAAAGTCCACCGGCCAGCCCCGCTCGCGCCGGGCGAAAGCGGCGCTATCCACTTATTAGCAAACTGAACGTAGATCGATACCGCAGGCCGAATGACTAGTTTTTCGGCATTGAAAGCGGCCGCTGAAAGGCTCGCAATGCCGAGAAATTAGTCATTCGGCATGAGGTATCGATCAACGTTCAGTATGGCAGCAAATGGATAGCGCCGCCTCCGGCAGGAGGATTCTGGAAGCAGCCTTACAGCGATTAAATCTCGAAACCATAGCCGAATGGTGTGGGTGTACGTCAAGGTCAGCCTTCAATACTGTCTGTCTTGTATCCTCTAAGATGGTTGTTCGTGTGCATAAAAGTCTTAAGCGTGATGAGCCGCTTTCTTACTTCGTGAAATGAAATCTGGCCCAATGAGTTCAAAGTGGTATAGCAATTCCTAGACTATTTTAATGCTACCTTCTTTAAACATGCTAGGAATGCAGTAGAAACCGTTAGTCCATCCAGGCTCTCCTACGCTATCTTTCTGTCTTTCCTCCGTTTCATATACTTTCTTTTAATTGTCTTGTTGCGTGAAAATTAGGTTGGGTCTTTGACTTCTATATCGGTGAGCCCAGGACGATGTTCTTCTTCTAGCTTTGTTTTTTCTGCACTTCAATCCTCCTATACGGTTTGGAGAGAAGAATTGGGCACTTATTTTTTTGCGTTGTCTTCTGTTGATTTTTTCTCTTCTGGAAAAGTCATACAGTAGTACCTGCGGCTCTATCTTTAAATTCTAGCACACACTTCATGCGCATTCAATAAATAAATAAATTGAATTTCGAGTACAAATCCGGTATTCCAATAAATTCTGAAAGCTATATGTGTACGCGCGTACGCTACTGATTATTCCAATAAATTGTGAATATTGTATGTGAAAAAGTCCTATAAGGAGTTCGCGTTAACTGCCAATTCTAATTTACGCATTTTTTGAAAAATCAATCTGATAGGTAGTTTTCTTGTGCTTCAATTATTGGAAGCATTTTTTCTCAAGGGTTGTTTTGTTGCTTTGTCAATACGAAAAAAGCCATATACAACTGTAGCATCATGAAAAAGTACGGAAATTCTCAAAATAGATCTTCAAGAACAAGTACTTTGTCCAGTGTTCAAAAGAGCGTCCCGTTCTTGCGAGCGAATCATTGTGAAAGAAGTCTCGTTAAGCTTGATTTTCAGGTCGACGGCTCTCGATTATTATTCGTTAATAATGCAAGTCCTTCGAGAGTACCCCTTCTCGGCGCTCCTTCTCAGGCAACTGTAGCGGCCGTGAAAAGACCCTCTCGAACAAGCGCTCGTTTGAAGAAGGAGGTTGAGACTATTGCACTTGATGACGACGACGAGGTCTTGCTGCTTTGTTCTTAGTTCTATCTAGAAGAGTATATAAACGATAGTGTTTAGACGAATGTGGCTAATACGTCGTCATCGGCCGGCAACTGCGATGGGGATGAAAATGGTAGCAGGGACGGTGTGAATGGAGAACCGAGCGAAAAGCGACCACGACTGGATGATCCAATCAAGGACGAAGTTCTTCTTGTGTTTCCTCCTGGTGAAAGCGGGGCGATCACGCGTATGTTCCATTTTGTGTGGCAGTGACGAATTGTTTCTGTTTGTCTCAACTTACTTGATGATTGTATTCGTTCATTAATATGTCCCATGTTCTGCTCGCTTGAACATAGCGATAGCTCTAATATCGTAGTCTTTATCTTGATATCACGTAAAAGCTGCCCCAACAATATTTTTTCAGTTCATTTCGAAGACTTACGGGTGCTGGCTCATGGCGAAATGCTTAACGACAACATTATAGAGTTTTATTTGAAATATATCCGTGCTAAGCTTGTGGAAAAAGAACAGTAAGCTAATCTCTGCATTTTTTTCTAAAGAGAAGTTTACTATACGTCGATTGTTGCAGACGGGACAAAGTCTTTGTATTCAATACATTTTTCTATCAAAAGCTAACAGAGAAGCAGCCGTCGATCTCAATTTTGAACAAGAATCATCGCAGTTCTGTTGGGCGATTCGAATGGGTATGTTTTTTGCAAGTATCGATAACTTCTTTCTTTTGGGCTCAGGTTTTTCACTCGGCTGGAGTATTCGGTCGAGCTAGGATAAAACCTTTTCCAGATCAAGAGAAATTTCTCCAAAGTGAAGTCATGGACGAAGAAAGTGGACATCTTCAATATGGACTACATAGTTTTGCCAATCAATGACGAGATGCATTGGTTTGTTTGAGTTAGCTGTCCTTTACAGAATAGTGTGCCCAGCGCCAGTGTGCGAACTAAAGTTAAAATTATTGTAACGTTGAGAAGGTACGGGTTCATCTAAGAAATCTTTCAGGTACTTGGTTATCATAGTGAAACCGGCGTTGGCTGTCGTTACACAACGCACTGAAGACGTGGAACAAGCTCGAAAGCGTGGTTCTTTCAGAGCAGATCCTGATACATTCATCGTAGTACTTGATTCCCTGCCTGATCCAAATGATGTGAAGAGGTGCGTTGATGTTTTTTTTTTGTCCTCTCACCATCACTAATGATTTCGTTTATTTTCTTGACATAGCCGCTGTGCATAAGTAATGAAAATTTCATGACGAGCGGGACCGTGAATTGTATTATTGGCTGCGTAAATGAAAAAAACAGTGTGCTGGTTTCTGCAAATTACCTGATGTTGGCTGCGCTTGATTGGAAGTAAAAAAAAGATGAAAATTCTTTGCCGATCTTCTACTCGAAGTTTTTGCTCAAAACTGTTGCGGTGACTCAATATTGAAGACAGACATAATTTTGGTAAAAACGCGGACATTTGGCAGCAACAATCTCATTTCTGACTACTGTTACTTACTGTTACTGTTTAGTATTGCAAATATATTTGTTTTTGTGAGCCCGTCTAGTGAAGCGTGAAGATCAGTCGGTGCCTTAACAAATGTTTTTCTCCATTCAACAAGCTTGATGGAGAATAATTTGTTTTTGATGGGTGAAAAGCTCATCCGACTTGAACAGAAACTGCCTCTTACTTGATCCCTGCGCGCTCAAACAGCATACCAACTGCCTTTTTCAAATCCCTGCATATAGTTTCGCTAGACTTGAATGATGTTATGGAGCTATAATTGCAGAGGTTCACATTCGTGAGCTTCTTGCTGTTAAGCCCTAGGAAGTATGATGCAGTGAACTCAGTGTAATTACGTTGAAAGTGCATGAAGTTACTTGGGGCTGTAGAGGTACTTTACGTAACTATCTAGCCCAATTTGGATTCTTGATTTGTCAATTTCCTCTTTATTTTTAGGAAATGTGTGCTGGATATCTTGAGAGATTATTTGGAGTGCGAACTCGCTGACAAACGTGGTATTCATGGAGAAGTATACCTGGATAGAACACGTATAGGTGCCCTTTATCCCCAAGGTGTTCCACATCAAGAAAACTACGTGGACTGTGGCCTTTACCTGTTACAATTTGCTGAGGCTTTTCTTACGAAGCCCCCGCTCGGAAAAGTTCGTTTTTATCACCATTTCACTCTTTTCTAGAATTTTTTCGGATATCTAGTCATTCGAATCGCATCTAGTTTTTCAGATGTTGAGACAAGGTGCGCGGTGGAAGGAGTGGTATCCCTGGTTCGATCATTCAATGTACTTTATGCGTGACAAAATCAGTAGACGATTACAGGGGCTATGTAATAAGAAAGTCAGTTTGTGCATTGCTCTTTTAGTAGGTGTTCGTATAAGCGCTATGACTTCATACCTGCGATCCCTTTTCATTTTATATGAGCGGCTAATTTGTTTCTAGGCATGGCAACGGTTAGTAGCTTATGAGCATCAACAAGGACGAGGTGTTAATGTTGAAACGTCAGCTGTGGCGATTGAAAGTGAGTTTTTCTTGCTTTTTTCTTGCTTATATACTGCCGAAATTAGCAATGAATGCAAGAAGCAGTAAGTGAAGCTATGGTGCAATTATTTCAGAGGCACGACGGCCGAGACGTCATAGTGAAACTCGCCTTCATGAGCCACATCCAAGGGCTCGCAAAAGGACTCACTCCGAACCACCAAATATCAAAAAGTGTGCCCCACCTGCTCCAAGGATGGTACCATGAATTGCTGAACCTATGCTGTTTTTATGATGTTGTGCTCTTTGAAACCAAATGAACCAGAACATAGAGAATTTTCTTTATTGCAGAAGGGGTGTGCAGAAGTGAATTCCCAATTGGAATAGAACAACCACATACTCTCCAGTAAGCTTTTATACTTAGTCACTGTTCTCAAATGTAGTTGAGATAGTGATGGGGCCAGCTTCAAGGGTTGCTCTTACTTTTGAATAATCAAGTGAATCCTAATTTTGTTGTGAACTCCATAACGGAGCAGAAGTGTCATTCTCCAATCGGGAACCGGTTTGGTTATTTCATCTTCAGTGGTTCATTAACATATAACTTATTACGTTTATTTTGTTGAATACTAATCTGCAAGAGTCAGGAAGAGTTCTTAATTGGCTATTGATAGGTGTTAAGAGGTTATTCTGACATTGTCGGAAGTTCTCCTATGTGAACCACATTCAATCGCATGCTAGACTGATAGCATCGGTCGTTCCACGTGTACTAGTTATATACATTGGTATTCATCTATCATTTATAGTCGTCGTCGCATGTGAAGGCACATTTGCGCGTGATCGCGTTGAGGGCATTCATACTTTGCGACTTCGACAGTTGGCTTCCTAGATAGTTATGATGAATGACTTTTATAGAAGCATGAGAGCTGCAAAAAGAAAGCCAGTTTTGATAGGTTGAGCGATTTGCATCTTGTTGCCGTAGCGAGTTGTTAGAGATGCGTATCGATTGGTCATAAGGAACGGCTGTAGAGCTTTTTTTTCATCTTTTTCCCAGCCATTTTTGTCGCCTTCTATAATATGTTCCCTAGTGCTGAACGATGGCATCGGCTCGCTAATTCTTCACCTTAGCTTTCCAAGCCTAAACAGTATTTAAGTTGAAATGTGATTCACCTCTGAGGACGACTATACATTATTGCATGATACGGTTAATATTCCTGTAATTCTATGAAAAACTTTCAAATGTGATTGAAATTGAGCAACATTTCTTTATTATTCGTACCTGGTTGTCGTTATGTAAACAACATAGAATTTTTTCGAAAACAATGTAGTGAGGTAGTGAGAATCTATCCTTGGCAATAGTTAAGAGTCACTGCTTTTAGTTTCTTAATAGTCTTGGATTGAACAGATACTTTCAGATTTCTTTCACGCAAATGTTTGTTTTATTAGTAGGCGTAGGATGAAGGGTGCATGTTCGTATTGCGGCCAGGCACATTTGCACATTTTACCATGAAATTGTCATCATTCGCATTCATAAACTTGCATGTTGTTGGATCTTCCTTTGAAAATGTTCGTTGCTCTTTACATTTGAATTTTGTGTTTCTGTTCGCATTGCTTGAACAAAGAATTATTTCATAGCCATTGCTTTATTGAAATAGTCTATCATGAAAATTTGAATGAGAAATGAAAACAAATGTAGAGGTGTATTTTTGTGGTATAATGCCACATAGGTATCATAAGCATAATTGTGTATTAGAGTATAAACTTTCATACCAAGTTTAGATAGTTAAACTTCGAATTAGTCAGAAGCTGCCATCATGAGTATTATGAGCTATAATGGAGGAACAATCCTCGCTATGGCGGGGAACGAGTAAGTCTATCTTTTCTTTGATCCATCTTCTCAATTCACCTTCTTTTGCCTAAGCTATCAAAAAGTTTGAAAGTTTTATTATTCGGTACGTAAATGGGTGCTGAATGAGCTGTTGATCCAAGAAGGACTTGTAATCTGCTTGTTTAAAGTAAGGGACTCGAATTGAGTTGAATGTTGCGCTCTAAAAAGGAACCGTCTGAGATCCCTTTCATTTTGATTCGTTTGGGAAACCTATTTGGCGCAAACAAAAGAATGTGAAATGGGAGGTATCCTTAAATAGTGCATTTCGGGGTGGCATTTATTGAAATAAAGTCAAGGAAAATTGAGGTGTATGCCTTTTTTGCAGTAACCTAAGTTACCCAGGGATTTCTTAGTTGGAACTATTTTCCATTCGCATTCCTAGCGTATTTTACGGAAGTTACATGTTCAGATGTGTCTGCATCGCCTCCGATTTAAGGATTGGAGAGCAAATGACAACAATAGCTGTTGATCAAAAAAAGGTGATCTTTAACATGATACAATCTCGGATCTTTGCAGCAGTGGTTTTTTAGTCTCTTCTACTGAATTTGGATCGAGTCTATGTAACGTATGTGTGAATGATGAGTTCAGTTAAAGATACCCCATAGCGAGGAAGATTGATAACAAAAATGTGACATTTCCCATTTCTGAGGTTTCAGGTTCACAAAATTGCGGATAAGGTTTATTTGGGACTAGCTGGATTTAACTCAGACGCAGTTACTGTGTTGGAAAAAGTCACATTCCGAAAGACCCTATACGAGCTGCGGGAAAACCGTAAAATCAAACCGGCGGTTCGTTTTAACTTCTTTGTTTTGCTTGTTTTTGAGCTTTATGTATTTTCATAGATTTTTTTCTTTCTTCAAGAGTCCAGTATCAGGTACTCGCGACAATGATCTCTAATCTGGCTTACCAGCACCGCTTCGGCTCATTCTTCACAGAACCGTTGGTAGCCGGCCTTGATCCTGATACGAATAAGCCTTACATATGCGGGATGGACACGATCGGCTGCATTGCGGCTCCTAAAGACTTTGTTGCTGTAGGAACAGGACAGGAGTATTTACTGGGGGTGTGCGAAAGTAAGTGGATGAGATTCTTTTCTGTTTCTTTTCCGCTCAGTGGATGAAATTCATTTCCCTCTTTTTCCTGCTGCGTTTTTAGAAATCTTTCGAAGGAGTTTTGAAAGAGCTTGGCGAACATCACTCAACTTTTATTGTGCTGCGCAGGCCTGTTTTTTTAGTGTTCTGGAAAGAAAATATGAGTCCAGAAGAATTGTTCGAAGCTACTGCGCAGTCGATGCTGGCCTGTTTAGAGAGAGATGCTGCTTCAGGATGGGGAGTGGTCATATACACGATTACCAAGGACAAGGTATGTTTTTCTTAGTTGCACTGATTTTTTATTCTTCCTATCTCGTTTTTATTCGATTTGTTTTGTTTCTGTTAATTAGCCAATATCAGCGCACCTTTGTATTAGAAGTATAACAAAACTTGATGATTTTTTTGTTTGAAACAGTCGCTCTACTCAGCAATATCGATTTCTAAAAAACTCTGAGTTACCATTTTTGTTTATAAGCTGAGAAAGCAATCATTCGCCAATATCCGTAAAATCTTTGCCCATTCCAGTGTGAGTATGTTTGGGTTTTCATTTTGAATTAAAGTGAAATGCGCTGAGGATCACAGGTTTACGGCTCCTCCCGTATACTAACACCGGAAAATACCACAGTTTTTCTTTTGATTTCGATGAATAACTACTTTTTGCCTGGGTTATCACAAATTTTTCGAAAGAATCTTAGGTTCGAACCTCAGCCGTTGCACTTTGTTAGACATTTTAATGCAGAATTAAAATTCTCGAGCCTTTTTTCTAAGACAACTTTTCTTATTTCTTACGAGCATTCTGCTTTTTTTATACTTTCCCTCTTTGTTTTGATGTCTTCTCCCAACAATGAGCTTTTCCTCTGCTTTTTGTGGATTCTGCCTTATTGATAATATTGAATGTGCTTTTAGGTCAATATAAGTACGTTGAAAGGAAGAATGGATTAAAATGTCGCCACGATGATTTACCTCGCACTACAATATGTTCGAAATTGTGTATTACCTTTAAAGACGATTTCATTGTAGGCAGACCAACGGTTCTCTCATTTTGCTGGGTGGTAATAATTTGTACTTATTGAACGTCAAATTAATTTCACTCTCGTATGATTTTTATTTATGTGTTTTCAAAAGCTATAAATCTTTGTTACATCGAAGAGTTTTCATTTCTCGGGCATTCTATTGCCTGGCGTACCCTACTGGACTCGCGCCAATTCCGAGTACTTGTTTCGGGAGCTCTTGGCCAAGTTTCACGTAGCTTTCTTGACAGCTCCATTCAGAAGCAAGAAATTTGCACTTGGACTTGCTTACGCTTCCCACTCCTCGTTCATTCTCTTCCTCTTTTTTCCTTTTTTTTACATACCATACATTGTCTCGATATGCGATTGCCGAGTTGCAATTGTTGTTGAAACACTGTTTGCTGAAACCTAGCCAGTCTCACACAACTGTCTTTGCTGGGTATTCAGGATATTCCTTTCAACGCATCTCATTTAACTATATAAAATGAATTCGATTCCTTTTCTTTCATGCCCTCCTAAACGCTATTCTTCACTCCGTTTTTCGTTCCGATAAAGCCATATTTATAGCACGGGCAGCTGCCTCTGAACATTTTTCTTACTCACCCGATTTGATCACCTGCCCTCTGCTTTCCCTGCCCTTCGTAGCCATCAAACATGACGTTCGGCCACGTTTTCATCTATGCTAGATCTTTAGATTCTCGGCGAGGCTACACTTTTCTCAAACTTGTCACCAAGTATGGTAACTACCTAGCGTCCGATCTCCATTCCCAATATTCCATCGACCTTCATTCTTAATATTCCAATTTATATTCTTATTTTAGTATTCTCCCATTTTGAGTGTAGAATAGAACCAAGTCAGTTATCTAGCTTAACACAAAGCAAAAAAAAAAACAATTATCCATTATAAACTAACATATAAATGAGGATCGTCCTAAACTTATGCATGGCATAACAATTATAGCGTTTAGGCTCAATCAATGCAAAAAATATGAACTGTTCTAAAAAGTTGTCTGTGAATAATACGTAGATAAACCACAAGATTATTAAGCTGAACAAATTTTCTTGCGAATTTCTTTTGAAAGATTATTGAAACAAGTTTTCCAGTTACTGTGAGATACATGCATTCAAAGGGCAGTTTTAGTGAGCCTTCCATAGCAAACCATGATACAAGTTGAACAATGTGAATTCAATATCAGAACATTAATTAATCTTACAGAGATTCTAACATTTCTTTTAATCATTTCGAAAAACTTCGAAATCTCCGCTGTCGTCAAAATGATTCTCGTCCAGCTCTAATTCCATGTCTGAATTTTCATCCAATTCCTCATTTCTCTTTCGTGTCGCCTTCCTCGTCATTTTTGCGACATCTTCGAGATCTTCGTGTAAGCTCGCAAACGTATTCATCTTAAGATACGAAATTTCTTGTAATTATTCGAATAAAATGACTTGCAAGACCTAAAAAAGTAAGCGAGCCCTATCCCCCCATTTGCTACAAAACTTCGACTCAACTTTAAGCTCTAAGAAGGTAATTATTGGCTTAAGCAGATTGATTCGCTGTAGACTTAAATCTCTAAGCTCTGATGGACCAGTCCAGCGATGGTCCTCTTTATCTCATTAGTGAATCCGATTCAATTACACATTCTTTCACCTTATTCGTGCCCGGATAATCTCGAAACGTATCAGTACGAGTCGTATTTCGTGTGTGGTTCATTCTAGAAATGTCATTGCGATAGTGGCCTTTATGCATGATATGATGAAGATATCGATCCTGACGTTCACTGCAAATTAAAAAAAACATCATTTGACATGCGATTTTCGAGTTTCTAAGACACACCGTTGAGCAGAATTGGTTGGTGTAGCCATTAAAACGCAACTGCTTCTTCTCCTTATTGGAGTGTCATCGTCGATAGGTTCAGGAAAAAATTGACCGCGTTTAGGACCCTCAAATGACCAGATAAATCGCAGGCAGATTACATCAAATTATTCAAAAGTAGCTGTAACCTTTCTTTGAATAGCCACATCTACAGGAGTGCGTAGAACCTCCAGTAGCGAGTCGTCAGCGCCGAATTCGGTCACGTTTGGTATGCTCTGTAAGCATGAAATTGCCAGGTAGTTCGCACAAATAACAACTGTGGCCTTCGAAAAACCGAAATAGTACCTCACTTAGGCTAACGTCATTCTGCCTGAAGAAGTCGTCGCCCTGTTCTCCAGCTCCCATCATGAATTTTCTAAGTAACAATTCAGAACATTACCACGATATCCATAATTTCCACACAGTAGAAATACCTCGTATACTCATTCGTCTGATGCTGGTGTGCAATCGTCCCCGTCCGTGCTGTTATTATCTCTGAGGTGATTGGAGGTGGTTCCCCTTTATCGGAAGGTGGTTCCCATTTCAGACGTTTAATAGCGGCCTAGAAAAGTTCCGTTGGCGGGTTACCTATGTCATTTCAAACAAGTCTTTTCGGCAATAAAACATAACAACTATTTATTAGCACAATATTACTGTCCTATTGTTGTCTATAATGGAAGGAAAAATTCAGAAATGATTTAGCCCAAACCTGTTTGCATGACTCCGGACTATGATCGTTTCCTAAAGAACGTGCTACCTTCTCCCAGTCATCATCAGTAACTACTCGAATCGCAGCTAGAGTCAACTGAATAATTCCTATTGTTAAGGTGTAAACTCGTGATGGAACACTGTAGTGATACCTTCAATCTGTGCAATTCTGCTTTGTTCCATCCCTTTTCTTTTTTCTCTTCTTTCTTCCTTTGTTGAGGGCATTCCTTTCCTTTTCTCATTGTCTCGTCTACTTCGTCATCACTCATTTCATCCTTGACAATTGGAAATGGTAATTCTTTGTTGGGGACTTATGACTACGTTGAGAAAGAGGAGCCTATCGGGTGCATTCGCCATCTGCGGCCGCCCATCTGCGTTTTAATGCACATATCTGCGTGAGGATCATTTGAAGAAAAGGGTCCTGTGGTAGTAACTTGTAAACAATCCTGATGCAGATATGTGCAAAAAAGAGGAGAGTGCTGTGAATGCGTTCATTTCTTCCAATTTGTTAGGCAAACTCACATCAAGAGAAGAAATTTCGGATGAAGAAGTTTTCGCTCGTATTTTTCGGGCAGGTTGCTTTTTTCTTTTCCGAACTGAAATCAAAAGGTTCGTGGTGGCTTATATACCATCCCTATATCACTATCAACTTATGCTTCAACTTGCTCTTTTGAAAAAACAAACAGCTAACCTGGTTCACACCAGCTGTCGTCTTCGATGTCATCTGAACCGGAAGAGATCTGCTCGTTTTCTCTATCCCACTCTTCTTGGAAACGTTTTCTTTCCAACCGCTTCTCCTCGAAATATCGTCTTTCTTCTTCATCTCGAAAAGCCGTTCGCTTGTTGTACTTGGGGTAGCCTTTAATTAAGTTGAGAACAATTGGTACCGCAATTTAATCTAAAATCGCAGATGAACTCACTCTTCATAAAGTTTTGTTTTTCTCGCAGTTGTATTTCCTCTCGCTCCTCTCTATCATCATAGTAGTGTCGTTGGCTACGCGCTGTCAATTTCCTTTCTAATTTACTTTTCCTCAACCACATCTCTTCTTTCTCGGTGATGCGCCTTTCGAGCATCAACAATTTCTCCTGCATCTTACGGATATTTCTTGCTTCCTCCAGCAACAAAAGACGGTCCTTTCTGAGCTCTTTTTCGATTTCGTGGTCATCCAATCCGACCTAACATCAAGTAATTATTTCTTTGCTGCACGTAGTTACATAGGGTATTGATTGAAGACTTCCTACCTTCTTAGATCTACTAACACATTTTCTTTTGGGTAAATCTTCGTCAGATGAAAATGGTTCACGCCTTCTGTTTTTGCTTCTTCCTTCACTGTCCGAACTGTCGCTATATTCCACCTAATGCGCGGAGCAGATGAAAGTGGGAGAATAGATACAAAAATGGCAAAAAGACCTGAAGACATACCAAAGTTCCCCGCCTGGGAGCTTTCTTAGGCCTACGATTAACACCAAGCTGGGGCTTTCGGTATTTTTCAACTTGTCTTGATGTAGCTGAGAGTGGAACACCATAGTGATCGGAAAGAGCCTTCTAAAAATGCTTTAAAAAGTCAAGAATTTTTTGCAAACTCTTGGATTCGAACCGTTATATTTGCTCCTCTAGGGTGATTTGTAGATGTCATTATATCTTCGATCCCAAGTATATTGCCAGCTCCATCATAGCGCACCCGTTGTCCTGCCCATTCTGCTAGTGGTGGTCGAATGCACCGTCCGCTTCGAGACCGGCGGACAGCTTAATTTGTAGACTTTATTTATATATAAGTTATCGTATTCAATCCTCGAAAGGAAATGAAACCTGGGATGGACGCCTGACTTGAGCTGGGAACTAGATCCTTGTTAACACTCTTGGTGCTAGATTCCCTGATAGATACTGCAAAATAAAGATATTTGATAGAACCAAAAGTGAGATCGAAAGAGTAGGGAAGGAGTGGACAAGGTGCTATGCTTTATCAAGAGATATAAAATGCTTATTTTACTAGAGAATCGCAGGGGATGCAAAATGAAAACATGGGAATGAAAAAGCCGTAGTTCGAGCTTAAATTCAATCAGTTGCACTTCTAGGTTCACTGAAATAAACGAGCTTACCATCAACCGGTGACCTGTTTTGTGCGGAGACCTTCGCTAGCGGTCTATTCGAATCAGCTACCTAAACAGAGTGTTCCTTGAACCTCCGAGAATGATCATCAGAAAGGTACTTACGCGATGAGAGAACTGGAAGTTTTCAACTTCATCGTCATCATCCTCGAAAAGCTGATGTCCGAACGCCTCCTTCCGACGGTCTTTGCTTGTTTCAATCATGTTTTTGCTAGCTTCCAAGTGTCCGAAAATGCTGCTGAAAAGCATAATTGTCTTGAAAGCAAATTTTAATACTCGTCAGCAGCCATAGGAGAATCTCACTTATATAGTTCCGTTATCCGGGTTCTCCAGTCAGGAGGAAAACCCGATAAGAACATTCGAACAAACTCCTTTGGAAAACCTGAAAAAGAAATGTCGTAAAAAGAANAAAACGTGGTCCGGATTTTCAAGCATTTACGAACCTGCAGAAGCGCAATCCATAGTATCAATATCACCTACGAGACGATATCTTGTTGAACTTGTGTATAGAATACGCGCATTCGCAACCCGAACAATAACAGACGTCTGCCACTTATTGGGATGACTTCTTGAACAGTCAAGGTTGAAATATGAGCATAACTTTAATGGAAACTACGTCTGCAGTAATAGGCTATAAACTCACTCTCTTGTCCCAAGAATAACGAATTTTGGAAAACCGAGAGGCGGACCACTATAAAGTGGAGCGAATCGAATGGACCATTGGCTTAGTTCCACTGCATCATCACTTTTTTCTGCAAAAGTTTAAAATAAATCATTAATCTCTTAACAATAAAGAAGCATTCAATGAAATTGGAACTTCAAAACCTTTTAGTGAAAGAGGCTTTTCAACTCTAGGCGGTACTTGGACAAGCGCAAGTTCTGGGTGGTTCTCTTCCGTGTGCGCATTCCTAGAACTCAGTGCTCTTGATGAAAGCGGTATAGCTAGGAACAGTGAAGCTCACCCCTCTGTAACCTCGTTTATTTGTGGTCTCTTTGTGGAAGTGGGCTCCTCAAACAGCGGCTGAAAATTTCAGGATCAAATTATTGACTAGATTAGGAATAGTAAACATACTCCGGGTGACACATCGATCGAATGCGATTGTGAGTTTATAGACGCTGGCGATTGTACATCAATCTGAATAATACATATCAGTGTTCCTACACTCTTTACTTGTAGGACTACAATTTCTCTTCTTTTTATTATTCTCCAACTTATTTACCTTGGAAGGATCTTCATTTTGGCGAGGTAGGAAAGAAATCGATGAATCTGACGAAACTGCTGAGTTCTGTAAACCTAACTCTCGTTTCACCAGCTCTTCCATTTCCATGCCCTGACTTCCTCTCCACCTTTAGCGTTCATCGAAACGATACACTTACCATCAATTCATTTGACCCATTGACAAGTGATTTATTTTCGTGTTTGTCGAGCAAAGCAGTCGAACTCGAACGTGTATCGGAAGCATCCGCACAAAAATGCTCTTCCCCACTGTTGGTCTAAATCAAGACTTTATCTTGTATCATACCTAGTTCACTGTGTAGTAATTTTGAAGATCGTAAGATACTCGCAAAAATGAGAGTCACCTGTGCTTCTTTTGTATTATTAAGAGTGCTGTTCTTCGTTGTTTCGTGTTCACTTTCTTCGTAAATAGTGGGAGGAAGTGTGGTGGACGCAGCAAAGGAGTTGAGCCGTTCTACTTGGCCTGGAGTCTCCTGAATAGTGTGATTCAATTACACTTGCGTCTTATATGTCTATCTGCCTCCCTCATGTCTTTCGTCATTAACTTCACCTGTAACTTATTTTGTCCTCGCACAGTGTTAAGGGAGCGACGTCGCGCAAGCATGCTGAAGTGATGTGATGCATTCAACGGATTTGTCGTTTTCCTGGAAGAGTCAAGATTTCCCCATCATCTGATACAGAAAGAAGGTTGAGATGCATCCTTACACAACGTCAAAATACTGCTGGAGGATATCCCTCCAATTCTTAGGAAAACCGTATTCAAAGGCAGCGACAAGACCGAATGGATATCCTGGAACAAAACACGCGATAGGCTGGAACGTTAAATACACAGTTACTGTTCACGTGTGAAATATTTCAACAGTAAATACTATTTATTTATAGCACACTGGCTGCATATCAATAAATACACAAAGAAAATATTCACTCATGCTAATACTAACCATATTGAAAAGCCAACTCTTTGTCAATACAGCCTCGAAGTTCGTATATAGTCCCAGTACATGACTCCAACAGCGATGAAGATATTCTTCTCTGAATACTGATATTGATTAAATAACTGAAATAACAATGCACTGGAATCACACACCGATCAAGCTATTTATATTCCGGATTGACAGAATGCTTGAAAAATTACCGTGGCAAACATGATAGTTTGCTCACTAACCATTCCTTTCTATGCTTACAATTTGAAAAAAAGTAGAAGTGTTGATACTAAACTAAATATGGTTTTAAGATTGCATAATCAATGACGGCCTATCTTTTTCGAGGGATCCTACTAACCTACTCCACTTCAAATTCGGGCCCACATGATGGGTGCTCCTTCGCCGCGCCATATTTTTTCATTCTCTCGTGTGAAATTAAAGAACTCCAGAGGATGGCGTTGTTAATTTGGCAAACCCAGCTAGTTTTAGTTGTATGGATGTTTCGATTTAGCTTCCATGATGTGAGCTCGACATGCAACAACATTTTCCCACAAGTTTTCACTACTTTAATATAGTCACATTTTTTGCAGATGCTGTGGCCGATTTTATAATGTTATCCTCTTACCTGAATGGCGGTGGAATGCCAATTCCGCATAGTCGTGGCGGTATCATCACTTGGTCTGTAGCCTTCAACACAAACACCGAACGATTTAATATCTTCTACATCGATGTACTGAAAAATTTTAATAGGTGAGTTACATAGTTATGAACAGTCTTCAAAGTTTTTGTGCAGTAGGGTCCTTAACATCTTCGTTGAAAGCAGTAGCTTAAAATACAAATTTCTTCAATTGAGTGCTTGCTAAGCAGAAGGAAGTATAAACTCGCTGCATGCACAACTCACTTTAAATGCCCAAAGTCGGAGACTTATTCGTTGTTTTTGGAAAATGGATTTATTGACTTCACCAGTCATCACTTAGTAATTTGCAACATGGGGCTGGTTGAAAAGTAATCTAAAATACATGAATAAATATTAAAACAAAAAGATGATCAATTGTCGAAGTGAGAAAGCAGAAAAAATGAAGGCTCTATGAAAACACTACTTTGAATATCGAAGGGTTATGTCAAAGAAGAACCACATTGAGCCAATTTGGTACAGAACATCCCACCTACGTTGCGTGAGTACAACTTTGGATACATTTTTATAAAAAAAGAGACACTAAAAAGAAAAACAATGCAAACATTAAACAAACAAAAAGTTGTTCTTCGTAAAGAACTATGATCAAGTTCTTTAATACATATATTGTATATATAAGCTTCTCGCTATCAGAAAGAAAAACAAGTAACTTCAATAGAACTAGCTAGACAATGAAAGGACGAATGAATTATACCAGTGAAGCTTCAACCGTTTGAAATTTGTGCAGTCGCGCGTGTTTACTGAGCGCATCTGGACAACTCGTCCATCTCGATGTCGCCGCACGCGACTTGCAACAGAGGTATTTCGAGCTCACCGTTGTTGTTGATGATGATAATGCTTCTTATTGTTGCCGCCATTCGTTTCTTTCTGTGGCGATGTTGCTGCTAGGGCTTCAAGTAAGGTGTAACGTACTGTTGATTTCGGGAGATCTACATCATAAGTTGAAGAATAGCTAGGGAAGTAAGTCTCGTTGTAGTATACTTCTCTGCCTGAATCTCATTAGTTAGCTTTTTCGAGTAAGCTCAAANAAAGTTCCTTCTCATCAGTAAGAGTTCGTTCGTATTAAAATAGTACGTTATGGGATCTTTGTGAGAATGGTCAAGCTGGAAGCAAATATTAGCAGTTGATTAACAGATTTCGGCGGTGTTGTAGTGGCAAGTAGTGCACGAACACTTACCCATGGTTCTGGAATAAAATCTCGTGTAGCTCACCGATGCCAGTCACACCTTCTATTCCTCAGGGGTTGAAAGCCCATAACTTTGGCTACTGATAATTGTGATTATTCGATCGAGATCCAATTATATCTCACCAATTCTGTGGGAGGTTGAACTTCTGTGGCTTTATATAGCTGTCATCTATGAATGCTATCAATACAGCTGTCATCTTTAAATGCCAATTATTGCGCCCGAATTAATATTGACCGATGTCGATTGGCATACCTCTAGCGTCATTCTATTCCACCCTTCTAATCTTCAGAGATTGAATGGGTGACGGTTCCTGTACCCAAATTCTTACTACGAGCGGCAGTGGTTTTGCAGCGAATAATGTAACCTTGTACTGGAGGTACAAATCATGCCGTTTACAGCGCCTGGCTGATCGAGATATGATGCAGCGAGTATGTACTTTGTTCGAGGACAGGAACCCTGACCCGCTTCGGCGCAACGTGTGTAGGTAGAACTTTATAAATTTTCAGGAAATGGACTTTTTGGCCTGAGCCGAAGGAGGGGAGTGGCAAGCTAATAGGCGTGAACGCCAGAGATACGTATGTAGTGTATGTAAGCTTCTCGCTATCCGAAAGAAAAAGAAGTAATTCCAATAGATCTAGCTAGACACTGAAAGGACGAATGAATTATACCAGTGAAGCTTCAACCAGAGATTGTACATAGCTTTCCTTGTACATAGCAGACTGCATCGGGATTAAAGAAAGTGGAGGGCAATTTTTTATTAATCGAAGGACTTTCTAACTCACAGATTGCGCGTTCCAGTTTCCATCGCCTTTCTGCGATAGGCTGCCTTCATACTTCGACGTGCGTGCCGGCACGCAGGTGGAGTCGCAGGTACAACCTTGCATGCGGTGTGCGAGCGGCTATGCGACGGCAGCGCTATTCAAGTGTGTGCTGTGTGATAGCGCTGGCACGTGATCCATCGACGTCCAATGTTTTCAACACCTCTAGCGCCGCCGTCGCATAGCCGCTCGCACGCTGCACGCAATATTGTACTTGCGATTCCACCTGCGTGCCGGCACGCACGTCGAAGTATGAAAGCAGGCTATCGCAGAAATGCGATGGGAAACTGGAGCGCGCAATCTGTGAGTTAAAAAGTCCTTCGATTAATAAAAAACCACCAGTCGGGCCGCCCGGCTAATGCCGGGCTTCCCTCCTTCTTATGGGTTCGTCCGGCTACGCCGGGCGTTCCTCCTTCCTGTGAGAAATTTGCTATGCGTGAATAACTCTTTGGATTCTCCTTTTTCTTAGAAAGCTCTACACCCTCAGTATTAGCTCCGAATTGGGAGCAATTTTTTTGTAAGCTACCTTCGCTGTGTCCAAATAGAACATCGTATAATATCACAAAGGCGATCATTCGGAGGAAAAAATATCCAGAGACTTCATCGCGGCTGAGTCTATTATGTTAGCAACCATCAATGTTCCCAGCCAACTCTTATGCCTTCAAGTTACAACGGTCTGGGTTCGAACTAACAGTATTTATTCACGCCCGCCCTTTGGGGCAGAGTTTAGTCCTGCAATTATCATCAGTGCACCTATCCTNTTCGGAGGAAAAAATATCCAGAGACTTCATCGCGGCTGAGTCTATTATGTTAGCAACCATCAATGTTCCCAGCCAACTCTTATGCCTTCAAGTCACAACGGTCTGGGTTCGAACTAACAGTATTTATTCACGCCCGCCCTTTGGGGCAGAGTTTAGTCCTGCAATTATCATCAGTGCACCTATCCTTCCTCCTATATTCCTACCAAGTTTGGTCGCTCTGGGTCCATTTTGGCATTTCTCTGCAAACTCCACCCCCTAGGGCGGAATCCGGTACTGACACTCACCGCAAAGGTTCCCACTCTGCTGCCTGTACTCCAACCAAATTTGGACGCCCTAGGTCTATGGGGGCTGGAGTCATGAGTTCCCGCGCAAACCCCGCCCCCTGTGGGCAGAGTCCGGCCCCGCCACCCACCATAAGTGTTCCCATCCTGCCGCCTGTACTCCTACCGAATTTGAACTCTCTAGGTCTATAGGGACAAGATTTATAAGTTTCTGCGCTAACCCCGCCCCCTGGGTGGAGTCCGGTCCTGCCACCTAACATAAGTGTTAACATCCTGCCGCCTGTACTACTACCAAATTTGAACGCTCTAGGTCCAAAATTAAATTTTTCACACAAACTCCGCCCCTTCTGGGCGAAGTCTGGTCCTGCCGCCACTATGAGCGTTCCCATCCTATCTGGGGTACTAATACCAAATTTGAATTTCGTGGGACCACGGAGACTGTAGTTATGGGATCCCGCACAAACCCCGCTCCCTGTGGGCAGCGTCTGGTCCTGCCACCACTGAAAGCGTTCCCATCCTATCTGGGGTATCCTACCAAATTTGGACGCTCTAAGTTCACGAGGACTGGAGTTATGAGTTCCCGCACAAACCACGCCCCCTGTAGGCGGAGTCCACCTCCGCCACTCACCATTGGGGTTCACGTCCTGCCGCATGCACTCCTACCAAATTTGAGCGCTTTAGGTCCACGGGGACAGAAGTTATGACTTTCCGCTCAAACATTTATTTCGCACAAACCCCGCCCCTGTAGGCGGAGTCCACCTCCACCACCCACCATTGGTGTTCACGTCCTGCCGCCTGCACTCCTACCAAATTTGAACTCTTTTGGTCCACTGGAGCCGGAGTATGAATTTCAGGTCAAACACACACACACACACACACACACACATACACTGACAGACAGACAAACCAACAGACACACTTAGCGCGTTATATTAGGTCGTGAAGAAAGTTCTTGCGGTTTTTGACGCCCAATATTCAAATGATCGCCGC